GGAGAGAACCCCACCCCTCCCATCTGAGGACAACCCCCCCAACACACACACACACTGGAGAGAACCCCACCCCTCCCATCTGAGGACAACCCCCCAACACACACACACACACACACACACAAATTCATACTGCAGTTAAACCCAGGAGAAGCCCAGTCTTGGCACGGGGGCTGCATGCTCAGAGTTTGGGGTCCCCTCTCGCCTGCTACCCCCACTGCTCTATGATGCCCGAAGCCCCACCATCAGAACATCACCCCGTCCCCAAAGAGACATAGCGTCCTGGGCCGGGTCACCCAGGAAACACCTTCGGGTCAGGGCAACCTCCCCAGTCCGCCTGTGCGCAGGCCTTGGTGGGAGGAGGTGCAGGGCCAGGACGTGGAGTGGGGGGGAGGGGGGGACAGCAGGCAGGCAGTCGCGGCGGGTGTCCCTAGTTGCGTGGGGCCCACCGCCCCGCTGCCCAGACCCTCCCGCCTCACCTGGCCTCCAGCACAGAACAGCGCAGGCGGCGGGCCCGCGGCCCCGGCACCACTTCCAGGCGCAGGTGGATCTCGCCTTGCACCTCCTCGTCAGGGTCGACCTCCGTCAGGTGGGCCCAGCCACTGAAACCTGTGGGGCCGGCGGCTCAGCCAGGGGCCTGGCCCTCTCCCTCAGCCCCTCCGGGTGCCACAGCGCCCCTCCGCCATCCCCTCGGGGTCCTCTCGAGCTCCGGGGGACAGGGGCTCTCGTCCCCAGGGACAGATGGGGACACAGGCCCAGAGGCTGAGCAACAGCAGTTGGAAGAGGCTTGATGCAAATCCAAATCCGGCGACCCCTGTGTCCTTACTCTCGTGCCCCGCTGACCCTAACTCGTGGCAGGACCGCCCTCTCTGGCCTCAGTTTCCCCATCTTAAAACAGCGACTCTTTTTGTCTGAGGCTGCTGGAGGAGGGGCCGAGCCCAGACGGGGAAGCAACAAGGGACCAGCATCACTTGGGCCGGGGGACCTTGAGGGGCTGGCAGGGGCAGCGGGCAGGAAAGGCCTCTGGCCTGGCAGGCGCCGAGAGGCTCCGTGAGTCAGCAAAGTCGCCCTGGCCTCACAGACAGGAGCAGGTGTGTGCCGGGAAGGCCCGGGAGGAGTCACAGGGGTTCGGACAAGCAGAACCTGAACCGCCTGAGAGCTCGTGGTCTGAACCCTCACCGGCAGATAGGGACCCAGCCCACAGGAGGCAGCACCTGCCCCGGGTCACACGGTGAGGCTGCGTCAGCATCCCAGCCATCATTCAAGGGGCCTCACCCGGCCACAGGCCGACCCCTCAGACTTAGGACAGAGTGGCACTGGGGCCCAGGCTGAGGGGACCCCAAGGGTACAGAAAGAGCCAGCCCGATTGGGAGGAGGGGTCTCCACACCTCAGCAGTGGAGCATACAGAGGCCCCTTCCTCTGCCTGCAGAGGCCCCAGATCCCACAACTAGCAGCCCCTCTTTGCCCTAGGGGGATGCAGTCCCAGGAGGGGACAGAATGGGGCCCAGGGCACTGAGGCCAGGGTCTCAGAACCGGGGGAAGGCCAGGGACGGGGCAGACCAGTGGGGGTAGAAGGAGGGGGGCCAGGGGAGGGGAAGCAAGAGCAGGCCGTGGGCTCCCTCCCAGGGATCTTACCCTTAGGGTGAGCGGCCAGGGTGTCCCTGGTAAGGCAGACCTTCCCGATAACGTCGTCCCGGCTGGAGGATGGAGAGGGAGCCAGAGCTGGGCAGGGCTCCGCAGGGAGCCTGGGACCCCCCTCCTGCCCAGTTCAGGGGCCCTGTGGGAAGCAGGGAGGCTGATGCTCCAGTCACTTGCAGGAGCCGATCGGAGCAGGACCCATGACCCTCCTGCGGGCCCTGCATTCCGGACACTCTCAAGAGCATGTGCTAGGTTTCTGCATGTGGACGGACACATGGGCCCACATATATGCCAAGTTCATTCTGGGTTTCCTAGCTCGCATGCCCCCACGCACAGCCCAGCACACCTGTGCCTTTATTCCCGCACGTGCACATGGATGACGTGGTGTGAGCAGTGTGAACACCCCCGCCCCCACAGACAGCTGCTCGCTCAAACCCTGAACGCTTCCATACCCTCCCGGGGCTCCCCCTCCCTCCAGGCCGTAAAGAGGAGGCAAAGCGACGAGCATTCTCAACAGGCCCAGCAGTGACACAGCAGGGTCTGGGCCCCATTTGAAGGGCGGGGGCCCACCCACCTGAGGGCGTCTTCATCCATGACGTAGAAGGCCACCGCGTGGAAGGTGGGTGGCAGGTGCACCTGGTACTCCTCGCCCCAGAATGGGCACAGGGTCTTCCACACAGTGGCCGTCCTACAGGAGAGGACCCTCAGCACCTCTCTGGGCTACCCACAGGCCCCGGGCCGTGACAAGACAGGGCCACGTGACTTAGGTTCACCTTTCCCCACATCTTCTTCCGCTCCCGAGAACGAGTGCTGATGATTTTCCGCGTCCTAGTCCCCACTGTGTCCACCGTCAGTCACTCCCTCCTGACCTTCCTCTCTGCCCTGGGTGGGGCACAGGGCTGCATCTAGCAGGCTATTTTCCATTTGGGGAAACTGAGACCACAGGTGGCCATAGCTGGCCTCAGGTCACACGACAGGACGCTGTCAGAGCCAGAACCAGAGGGCTGGCCTCCCAGCCTCACCCTGGCTCCTGATGCTGACCAGGCTCACTAAGGGTGTTAACAGGGGGATGGCCAAGTTGACTCTGGAGTCAGAGACGTCTGCCCCGGGGGGCCCGGGAGCCAAAGTCCCCAGCCTGACCCAGAGAGGTTTTACGTGGCCAGACCCTCCAGGGCAGAGCCTTCAGCTCATCAGACTCAGCAGGGAATGTTGGGGGGTGGGCAGCTGAAACCCCCAAGGACCAGATGAAGGCTCAAATGATCGATCACCTTCACCCCAACCATGACAGATCACTTGAATGCTGGGGCCTAGGTTTCCCTGTCTGTCACAGAGACAATCAGAGCCAGCTTGCCCACCCCCTCTTGGTATCACGGTTCGGACGGAATATGGAAGAAGACTTGGGGTCCTATTTGCAGGGGGGGAGAACCACGAGTCTGGCAGCCTCAGCCGGCAGGCAGCAATGAGCACTTCGGTGGGCAGAACAGTGGAGAAGCTCTGGCCATGAAGTTTAAGGTCGAGGCCAGAGACACAGAGGAGATGGGACCTCAAAGAGCCTGCCCAGAATTGTGGAACCCATGGGCAAAAGCGCATCCAGGGGAGGTGGCCCTTCTGGGTACAGGCTGGGGCCCCCTAGCCTGAAGCAGCCTTTCTGGGGTATAACCACAGTGGGAGACTCTCAGGGAGCAGAGACCCCGAGGGAGAGCCAGAACGGGGGAGGAGGAAGATGCTCAGGCTTTGGGGTCAGCCAGATTTGGGTTCCAGTCTGACTCTGCCGCCTCCTAGGTATGTGACCCTGGGCAAGTGAGTCTCTCTGAGTCCCCGGGTTCCTCCTCCGTAAGTGCAATTTAACAATATCACATCTAGCTCCTTGCAAGTTTTAAGTGAGCTGCAAAAGGTTTAGCACAGGGCCCGGCGGATGGTACTCCATAAATAACACCTACTGTTACTACTCATCATCCTCTGTCCCTTCCGAGGGCCATAAAGATCATAGAAAGGAACAGCGTTGGCGAGAGGCCCTTGGATGGAAGGCCTGAATGCGCGTTAAGGTCAGTAATCAGCAGGAGGAGTTAGAGGTCAGTTTCCTCACCTCCCAGCCGGTGTGTCAGGGCAGGGGGCGGGGCCAGGGGATCAGACGTTCGGAGCCCTCCCCCTCCCCTGCCCTGGGGTGTGAGCTGGAAGGGTAGGGGTGAGTGTGGAGGAGAAGGTGCACCCTGGCACCGGCCCTTAGCGGGGGGGGGGGGGGGGGGGGGGGGGGGGGGGGGCGCCCGCGGGGCGCGGGGGGGGGGGGGGGGGGGGGGGGGGGGGGGCTGGAGGGAGGGGCCGTACCGGATGATGGGCTCATTGTCCACCTTCACGATGCAGTAGGGGTCGCTGCTGCCGGTGCTGCAAGACACAAGGCCAGGGAGGGGCTGACCGGTGGCCGGCGGCAGGTGGGGTGAGGGTAGGGGCGCCCCAGGGGGCTCCCAGGCAGCTCAGCCCTCTGTGACCCCAGGAAGAGGACAATCAAGGCTGAGACACGGGGGCCTGGGCTGTGTCCCCAGGACCCAACGGCTCCTCAGGCCGAAACGTGTGCCCCCCGCCCCCACCCCTCATCAGTCTGGGAGGCCGGTGGTGAGCAAATGGCAGGAACCTGCACGAGGCTTCCCTGCACTGGTGCAGGGGAAGGGGAGAAAGGGCCCTGAGGGGGGCGGGGGGCCCTCCTCCTGGCTGGGCGGGGGGAAGATGCTCCTTCCTGCCACCCCTTCCTCCCGCCCCGCCCCAAGGAGAACAGAAACAACAATCATAGCAGGGAACAGCCCCAGGCCAGCTCCAGAAATCCAGATTCATCCGCAACACCCAAGTGGGCGCCTTGTTCTCTCTCCCCTGAGCCCTTGCTCCCGAGGCTCCTCTTGCCTGGACGCCTGGACCACGCTGCCCACCTCCCAGCGTCAGCCCCCCCGCCCCCCGCCTCTCAGGGCCCGCCCCCGTCCCAGAGGCAGGGAGTCCGGTCTCCCCTGCGGGCCCACTGCCTTCGAACTCTCCATCTTTCCCCCCATCCCAGGACCACTAGTGATGCGCTGTCCTCAGCTGCCACCCCCACCCGACCACCCGAGGGAGGGACCACTTCTGTGTCCCCAGAGCCTAGGACAGGGCTTGGCACAACACAGGGGGCCCAGGGGTGTTTGCTGGATGAATGAATGAACAAATATAACAGTCTGCTGTCGAGCTCTCGGCCGTCTGGGAAAGAAGGAAGGGAAAGACCAAGCGGGGACTGCTCCAGTGCCCTGGTCTCGGTTGGTAGGGGACTCCTGGGGTTGCGGGGGGCAGCCCCAGCCAGGCCTAGGGCTGGTCCCAGGCAAGAAAGGGGGTGAGGACTGTCTCCGGGAGTGCCTTTCAGGCCCAGTGTCCATAAAAAGGAAGTGATTTGCATGTTGGAGGTTGGGGAATTCCAAGCCCTGCTCCCCTTCTCAAAAGGGGTTCTTCCTGCAGTGGAAGACATGAGACAAACATCTCCAAAGGTCCTCCCAGGACTCAGTTCCCTACACAGTGCAGTGGGGGCGCTCACAGGGTGACTGCCCCGGGTCCCTGGCCTGATGGGAGGGCCAGCCCATGGCAGGTGTTTGGTAAATGTTGGCACGGCCCTAGACTCCTTGCTCTTCTGCCTGTCACCCCTTCCCGTGTCATTTAGGAGCCCCCTCCTCCAGAGAGCCCCTTGGCAACACCCTAGCTTGCATCCCACCACCCCAAAGCCAGGACACTCGGGGCCTCCAGTAATCAGGCCCCTGTGCACCCCCAGAGCTGGGCTGGATGGCAGGGCCCAGCAGCTGCATGCATATTTGCACAAGGAACTGGGAAGGAGGAAGATGTTCCTGTGGGCTGAGACCTGGCGGGGTGGGGGCGGGTCCCCTCTACCCTACCTCTGCCTCCTGGCCTGGCACCCCTAGCAGCCCTGTGAGCCCAGCTCTGCCCACTGGGCAGCTCTCACTCAATGAATGAATCTCTGAATGAACCATGAGCTTTGGGGTTTGTGTTACAGGCCAGATCATGGGGGTGGAGGCCTGGAGGCAGGAATGGACCTGGGTGTGCAGGGGCTGCGAGGAGCTGGGTGGCTGGATCAGAGGGGGGCAAAGGGGACAGTGTCAGGAGCGGGCTGAGGCCAGAGGCCCAACCATGATCCCTGGCCAGGTGTTGGGCCCTGTGCCCCCGTCCATCGCACAGTGAGGGCCCCGGACTGGCCCCCCTGCCCCAATTCCCCTTCCCCAAGCCACCTGGGGAAGCCAGCCTGGCTACTTGCAAGGCCTCTATATTTAGCCCCTTGGCAGTTTCCAGGCTGTGGGAGGGGAAGGATCAGGGCAAACCCTGAAATAGTCCCGGGCCCGTCCCCAGGGCCACCGGGCGTGGGAGCCAGTCAGTCACCGGTCATTATGAGACTTAGCTCCTGTCTGGCTGACCCAGGCGCACAAGGATGAGAGACGGTAGATGGAAACAGAACAGGAACAGGTGGGCTCTGAAAGCGGTCGGTGACAGGGAGCACAGCTGTGCTCTCTGCCCTTAAGAGAACTAAAAGCCCATGAGTGGAGATGGCAGCTCTGATGATGTCTCCCTCCCCAGAACTGTCTCAGTCAAGATGGAGCACTACAAAAGGTGGTGAGCTCCCCGTCCTCGGAAGTGTGCAAGTCACGGCTGGAAGGGAGACTGCTCAGGAGACAGGCTGATGAGGCACAGTGAGGCAGGCTCACCACCATCCCTGCTTCCGGCATTCAGTGAGGGCCTCCTGGGATCTCCAAACCCTTGCAGTCCTTGAGCCAAATGATTTGCATGGCATTTGCAAGGCTCAGTCCCCACTGAGCCACGCGGCAAGCCTGCAACATCGGCCCAGCTAGGATTCTTGGGCTGTCAGCAGCAGAGAGTGGGTCTGAATCCTGACTTCTCTATCTAAATGCTATGTGGCCTTGGCAAGTGACTTGCACATCCTGAGCCTGTTTCCCCTTCTACAAACTGAGCCTATCTACCTTATAGAACTAAGACAAGGATTAAATGGAAGCGTCCTCCACAGCCCTTATTCTCCTCTACCACGGACCAGGAGCCTCCCCAGGGCCCCTGGAATGCCAAGATGAATGAGTCATAGTTCCTACCCCTCAGGGTCACACAGCATGGGCAGCCCAAGAAGCAGCAACTGCTACCAAGGGCATCCTCCTGACTCCAGCTGACCCCAACTGCTGGAGGGCACAGTCGGGGGCACAGTGACCAAGGCTGCCGGAGGGCACCAGGGAAAGCCCTGGAAGGGAGCCGAAGTTTGAGAGGGGTCCTGAAGGATGATCAGGAGTTTGCTGGAGGACTCTGAAGGGGAGTGTCTGAAGGCAGAAGCCCCTAAGTGTGCAAAAGCAGGGCTGCAAAGAGCCCAAATGTGAGGGGCTGAGGGGGGAGGGAGGGTCAGAGCTGGATTTAAGAGCCAGGTGACAGGTCTGAGGGCTTCAGGAGGTGAGGGGAGGTGAGTAGGGATGGGGGCAGGTCAAGGAAAGAGATCCTGGAGGCAGAACCAACACGACTTAGTGGCCACTCCCCCCTGCCCCCCCCAAGGGGGGGATGGAGCCCCAGGGTCCCCAGGCTGCGCAGAGGCAGGACTGGGCGGAGAACCTGGCACGGTAGACCCAGAAGCTTCACCGCCCGGGGCTGGGGAAAGCCTAGAGCCAGGCACTAGGGCCTGCAGGATGGGGAGGGAGGCGACAGACGGAGGGGCTGCTCCTTCCAGCAGCCACCAGCCAGAGGAGGCCAAGCTGACCTAGTTAGCGGTGCTAGCCTGGGGGGTGCTTAGAGGCTGGGCCTGGAGTCTGAGACCCTCCTCAGGGCTCATCCGCCTGCTCTCCCTAGAGACCACATTCCCAGCGTCCGCCCCACCTACCCACCCCCCCAACACAGAAACCCACCTGGAGACGGCCGCCCAGCCCCCTCCCTCACCCATTGCCATAGCAACTGCTGAGCCTGGCCTTGCCAGGCCCAGGGGGCCTTGAACTAGAACTGCTCAAGGCGCTGAGTGAACAGGGAAACTCACAGGGGCCACTGTCCGTGTGAGAGAGACGCCCTCGCCCCAGCCTCCGGCACCCTTCCCCATTCACCACCTCAGGCTGCGGAGCCCGGGGCGGGCGGGGGGGGGGGCACTCCAGACAGCGGACTTTGGACCCTATGCAGCCTCTGGGCTCCCTTTCCCCCACACCCCGCTCCAGGCAGCCAGCGCACCTCTAGCCTTGTGCTTAAGGGCTTTTGACCTCCAGTTTACAGAAGGGGAAAGTGAGGCTTCAGAGCTAAGATGCTGCCTAAGGCTGTATACAAGGCAGTCAGGGATGGGATGGGGCAGCTCAGCTCTGGGACTACTGAGAAAGGAGCTGGGACAAGGGGCTGCTGACACCTCCTCAAATCTGGCCAGGGACCAGGGAAAGCCCTAGATGTCAGTGTGGGTTAGGAGCTCTGGACCCAAGACCTTGCCCTGCCATCTGGAGCCAACATTTTCAGGTCTCCAAGCCTTGGTTTCCTTATCTGTAAAATGGAATGATGAGACTGCCTTGCTGAGTACTTGGGAGGAGGTGAAGCCACCGCATGGCGCAGATAAAGCCTAGGGCACAAGCAACAGCTGCTCCCCAGCCACCCCAACTTTGCACGGGTCCCAGCCTCCTGACCTACAGGTTCACCCTTCACGCCAGCGCACAGCTGGAAGCCCCGGGACAGCCCCGGCCCCCAGGGCCTGTTTCAGGTGCACACACTCGGGGACTAAAGGTTCCGGAATTACTGAGGAAGACCCCTCATTTCCAGAGGGCACCCCCACCCCCTCCAGCCACACCCCCGCAGTTCACCGAGACATCTCCCTGCGAGGTGCCCCCACGCTCAGCCCCTGTCCTATTAAAGCCCCTTCCCCTCTTGAGGCGCCGTTGGCGCCCTCCCTGCTAACTCAAGCCCCTTACAGACCCCCGTCCCCTCCCCAGTCCACAGCCCTTCCCCTGTCCCCCCCCCCATCCGCCCGGTGCTCGCAGCAAATCTTACTGTCCCCATTTCCCTGCCAGCCCCCCACCGCGGCCACACTCGCCACACCCTCGCCGCTGCTCCACTTGTGGGCGGCCGTGCGGACCCCAGAGAGGTCAGGCTTAAGGGGCAGCATCCCTCCCCAGAAAGTTGGGGCCCCCACCCCCGGCAGCGCTCACATGTCCTTGGCGGGCAGGTTCTTCCCCTCCACGATGCGGATGGACAGCGAGCTGCGCTTGGCCATCGCGGGTCCACGACGCGGGGTCCGGGCCCGAGGGAGCCCGACGCCAGGGTTGGGTGCAGCGGGCCGGCGGGCGGGCGCGGGACTGGGCGCCGCGGGGGGCGGGCCGCGCCGGGCGCGGGAGGTAAGCGCGGGGGCGGGGGAATCGCTTCCACTTCATTCACCCCCGCCCCCGCCCCACGTGCGGGGGCCACTGCACCCGGGCGGGCCAATCGGCGTCTGGGGCTCCCCGGGGTGGGCGGGGCCGGCCCAGATCATTGCGCTCATTGGCCGCCTGGGGGTTAGGGGAGGGGCCTGCGCCGAGGGCTGTTACCCTGCTGGCTGGCCGCTGGCTGGCCGCGGGCTGGCGGTGGCGGTGGGGCGAGGGCGCGACGGTCGGCGCCCGGGTGGCCTGTGCCACCGGTACGTGTGGGCGGCGGGCGTGGTCCCAGTGCCAGTCCCCAGGTGCACGGGGGCTATGGGCCCTAGTGTGTGTTCAAGGCGTGGGCAAGTGCGGGGACACGCGGGCGGGGGACGTGCGCGGAGGAGAGCCCCGGCCGCCCGAGCCTGACGCGTGGGACGCCCTGCGTAGGTGTAAGATGAATGAATGAACAATCGGACGAACTTAGCAAACAGTATATCTGTTTGTGTTAGAGCCGCCTGGACCCAGAAGGAGGCAGCGAGAGCCAGGGCGGTCCAGAGCTTTGGGGACCATGCTTTTGAGTCTGAAAGACCGGGCTTATTTTTGAGGACTTGCTTGGGAGGAGGGGGTTTTCTCAGTTGTCACCTCACTTAGGCCTCCTACCTCCCCCGCGGTGGGAACTTGGATGAGGCGCTCAGGTTCACGGAGGGAAAATTACTTGCTAGAGGTCACCCATTTGGCCCAGACAGAGCTAGGCTTGGCCTACCCGGGACTCCGTGAGCACGACCTTTCCAGTAGGGGCACCATCCTTCTCCCAGACTGTGTCCAGAGCTGAGTTTCTAGAATCCAAATCCACCCCTTCGTGGTTTTCTCCCAGATCGAGAGGTCACAGTCCTGGGGCTGGCACAGCCGCAGCTGGCCCTGGTCATCTGTCTGCCCCGGAGGGCACTGCTGCAAACATCACTGCACACTTGGGTCCCAGACCCAGCTTCACCCCTCTCTTGCCGGTCACTCTGAGTGGCTTTCTCATCTTCTATGAGCTGGTTCCATTTCATCACCAGCAAAGAGGGAGCAGTGACACCTGCCACAGATACACAGGAAACATTGTATGTGTGGGTGCCTAGCACAGGTTCTATTTTCTCTTACCTTCTGTTTTCTTTCCCTATTTTGTTATTTCAACAACACACGCACACTTGGCCAAATGCAAAAGATGTTGAATGTTTACAGTGCTTTCAACAAAAAAAAAGAAAGAAAGAAAGAAAGAAAGAAAGAAAGAAAGAAAGAAAGAAAGAAAGAAAGAAAGAAAAAAAGAGGGACACCTGGCTGGCTCAGTCCATAGAGCATGTGACTCTTTGTCTGGGGGTTGTGAGTTCAAGCCCCACCCTAGGTTTAGAGATTACTTTAAAAAGATGCTATTGGGGGCGCCTGGGTGGCTCAGTTGGTTAAGTAAGTGTCTGCCTTCGGCTCAGGTCATGATCTCAGGGTCCAGGGAATGAGCCCTGCATCGGGGTTCCCTGCTCAGTGGGGAGTCTGCTTCTCCTTCTGACCCTCCCCCTGCTCATGCTCTCTCAAATAAATAAATAAATAAATCTTTAAAAAATAAATTAAAAAAAAATTAAAAGATGCTTTCGGGGTGCCTGACTGACTCAGTTGGTAAAGTATGCAACTCTTTTTTTTTTTAAGGCTTTTTTTTATTTATTTGACAGAGAGAGCACAAGTAGGCAGAGCGGTAGATAGGGGGAGAGGGAGAAGCAGTCTCCCGGCTGAGCAGAGAGCCCGATGCGGGGCTGGATCCCAGGACCCCAGGATCACAACCTGAGCTGAAGGCAGATGCTCAACCAACCAAGCCACCCAGACGCCCCTAAAGTATGCAATTCTTAATCTCAGGGTTGTGAGTTCGAGCCCCACACTGGGCGTAGAGCTTACTTAAAACTATATATATAATAAAAATAAAAAGCAAATAAATGTTTTCAATGAAAAGTCAGTCTCTCCTCTCTCCCAGCCACACAAATTCCCTCCCCCAAGGCATCCACACCCCTGATTCCTTGCACAGCCTCCTGGAGACAGTCTCTGCCTACGAGGCCGCAGCAGACATATGTGTTTGTCTTTTACACGCAAATAGTAGCTAACAGGTTCCACTTACAGTTTCTCTTACTTTATCTTGGAAAGCCATACATATTTATACGTTAAAAAAATTCCCATTCTCGGCCAACTGCCCAGTTTTCCAGTGTGGACGTACCATCATCCCTTTGACAGGTCTGCTGTGCGTGGATGGGCCGGCATGCTTTCACCAAACAATAGCATGGCTCACACATCATTTTGTATGTGAGCAAACGCAGCCAAGGATAAATTCCTAGAAGCGGAATCCCTGGGCCGGAAGACTTATGTGTGGGGGATGCAGATTTCTTGCTGCGGTAGTGGTTCCAATGTCCGGCTTCCGCGGCCACCGACCTACAGGAGCGTGCCAACTCCCCCAAGTCGTCCCCAGCATGCTCCCTCGTCAATCTGTGATCTTTGTCGACGTCATCTGTGGGAAAATAATGGTTTCTCAGGGTACTCGGGGCTATTTTTTTAGGTAGTTTATCAAGGCCTTCATCAGTCTTCATGGTCACTGAGATTTGCCCCCTCTGCCTTGTCATTCTTCAGGCATATCCCAACCCCCACCCCTGGATTTGGGCCAGGTCGCCTGGGGAGTGAGAAGCAGCTTTGTTGGCTCTTTGGTAGATTGGGGGCTCCCTCCCCGCCTCCCCCCACTGTGGGCTGTTACAGAGGCCTGGTTGGTGAGTGGGGGGCAGGAGGGCTTCCGCCAAGTCTTAACGTTTGAGGGTTATTGCAGGCTGATCCCTTCCCTAGCTTGGAGACACACACCCCCAAGCAGAGCCGGGGAAGCCCAGATTGGGCTTCTTTTGTCCACTTCAGGATCCAGCCTTGTTCACCTCCAGTGCTGAGGAGCTCACCTCCTCCAGAGGCAGCTCTGTCCATCTTCAAACTCTTCCAGCTGTGAGCAAGGCCTGGCCCCCCACCCCCCACCCCGCCAAGCTACCTTGAAACCTAAACCATGGATGTTCTTCCCAGAGCCTTCGGCCTACTCAGCTCCAAGCCAGGCTCCCCAACCCTGCCATGAGTTCTAGGTCCCACACTGACCTGGTCATTGTCCCTAGAAAGCCTCCAGTTTGTCATGGGCCTTTCTGGAGTGTAGCTTCCGGAGAAGGGTTGGGCCTTCCTGCTGTGCTGTGCTGCACAGACCAAACATGAACAGACCAAACCCTCCCTTTGTCTGGGCACTAGACCTTCAATGATGCCACTCACAACCCCCTTAGCTTTCTTGGGCCACGCTGCCCTAGTTTCTGGCTCCAAACAACAGAAACCAGCTCTGAGTAATTTAAACAGAAAGGGATTCATTACAGTGTGTCACAGATTCTCGGGGAGAGCCAGAGAACCAGGCCCAAAGGGTGCACCCAGCCAAGAACAACGCCCCAAAACACATGCCAAAAGTGGCTTAGTACAGACACACCCAGCGCTGGCCCTAACCACGGACCCCTCATCTCAGGCCAACGCTGGACGCCAGGGTGTTGCTGTCCCAAGTACTGCACCATGGCATTTCCCCTCGTCCGCGCAGGGCTGGGAAGACCAATGACAGTGCCATCAGTACCTGTGCGGGGAGGGACCAACCTCAGAAGATGGGGCGGGGGAGAGGGAGGAGGGCCCTGGATAGAGGAAGGGGGTTCAGGTGCTGGGCATCCCCAGGAGTGACGACACCCACTGCAGGGGCTGGAATTGCCACATTGCCCCCCCCCCGAGCGATATCTCTTTAGCACCCACTAGATGCCACCTGCGCAACAGGCACCCACGCCGTTTTCTCATTTGGTTCGAGGGACAACCTGTGCGGGAGGTGCCGTCACCCCCTTTTCCCTGAGATTCCCGTGGGGTGCTCGGCATCCTGCAGCACGCTCCACTCCAGCGTGGGAAGGAGGAGCCTCTGCGGGGGTCCCCTGCCAGCAGGTGTCAAATTCTGCCTCCCGCAGTGCCATTCTGCCCCCTCCACACACGGTCCCTGCTGCCGGCACATGGGTCACCCCCACCCCTACCCCGCCACGGCCTTGGCCTTGGCCCTGCAGCCTAGGAGCACTGCCCCAGAGCACGGAGACTCCTGGGGAAGAGCATGGTCGACACGGAGGATTCAGCCAGGGATGCCAGCCAAGCTGTCAGCCTGTTCCCAGAAACCGGTCTCTGGGGAGGGGTGAGTCAGAGGGCGGGGCCAGGAGGGGAGCCCAGACCTGGCTCCACTGCCCCGTCCCGACCCTTCCTCTGCGGAGGGCTGCAGAGGAGACCCCTTTGCTGAGCAGACCACTGCCCGTGGTTCCTATCTCCCTCGTTCATTCAGTCATGCACTCGGCCACCTGCTTAGGTATTCAGCATTCATCGAGCACCTGCTGTGTGCCAGGCCAAGAGAAAAACCAGCCGTGGTGGTCCTTGCCCTCAAGGGGTTCACAGTTGAAGGGAAGAAATGGACGTAAAGGGGCGGGTAAGTGCTAGAGCAGGGAAGTGAATGGGGGTATGGAGAGGAGCGGGGTGCTCAACAGATCTCACAGAGAAAGTGGCATTTGAGCTGGGTCTGGAAGGATGGGGGGCATGTCTGATATGCGGTCGCAAGAGGGAAGGGAATGCTCCCCGTGGAGGGAGCAGCCTGAGCCAAGGTGTGCAGGTGTGATGAAGACTGGGGTGTTCTGGAAACATCCAAGCGGGCGGTGTAGGAAGCGAGGGAAGTGAGACTGGAGAAGCAGATAGGAAGCAGCCGATGATGGAGAGCCTTGACTGTGGGGAGTGCTCTGACATTTTCCTGGGCAGGGTTTGGAGCAGGGGAGTGACGTGGGTGGACGTGGGTGTTGGAAATGCAGTAGGCTGACATTTTGAAGTGTTAGCATATGGGTC